ACTGACAAATGAGTCTTTTCTATAACAGCAGCAAACATCTGGAAATAAGTAACAGCACTACATACAGCACTTTTAAAATCAAACTTGAAGTATGGTTAAATATTTGATTATGAATGAAAATGTGATTATTTGTACATTGCTTACCTATGTTTTATATAGTTTTTTTAACATTGTACATTTTGCATTGTTTTATTTTACATTTTGTTTTATATCTTTTATGGCTTACGTAAAGATATTGTTGAAAGGTGCTATACAAATAAACTTGACCCAGGAATCAGGTCATGTTCCCTCTTATTTTTCTCAACACACATTTCTACAGACTACGGGTGCACTTGGCACATGTATATTGACGATTTTTTTTTTTTTTAAAACATTAGTGTTATTAATTAATGTGCACTGCCCCCTACAAATAACCAAATACATACACACCCTACTCATTAATCTGCCACACAATTCCTTGCTAATTAATTTCACATTCTGCAGGAAATAATACCCACAAAGTGTCAACACACACATTCTTTACTCTTTTCCCAGAGTTCAAATTGACTCCCACAGTGCATTATGGAGAGTAAGAGGTTCTGCATGTGGGCGTGTACTGGAACCTTATATGAACCAAAAATAGTTTGACACAAGTTACCCGCGAGCCCTCTACAGAGACCTTTGCTCCCACTAGTGTGCTTGTGTGTGTTATTTACAGTCTGCATGTACTATAATCTGAGGACAGTGCATGATACATTTGGTTGAATTCCTTACAAATTATAATGCAGGTTGAGTAAAAAATGTTTGAATCTCTTTATGTATGCTTGTGTGTGCGCGTGGTGGACTTACCCAGTATGAGTGCAAGCAGCAGAGCAGCACAGAGACACACACACATGGCCAGTGCTATCCTGTAGAGACGAGTGTTGCCCCTCTCAGGTTTAACCCCGCCACCACCTAAACGCTCCAGTTCCATGACTTACTATATCAAACGTACATAAAAACACACACACACACACTCACCCACACTCCCTAAAAATCTAACTTTATGGTTGGGGAAGCACTGAGCTGAAAAAACTGAAGAAAACAGGAGAGCAAAAACTTCTGACAGAAAAAGCTGCAAAAAAAATCTAATTTATGGAGAAAAGTAAACCCAAAAAGTTATAGCAACATCTACCTGAAATTAAAGAAAATCTTTCCCTTTTTTCACACTCTCTCTGTAGCTTCTGGTAACTTTCCCACAATAACAGCAGACGTTATTCACTTTTCCAATCTGTCTCTCTGCTGCTGCTATCTGTCTATCTGTAGCTACTCTAACTTCACCCTGGCTCTTCACACAGTTCCTCCCTCCCGAGCTCATCACTCCTCCTCTCCCCCAACTCTCCTCCCATCCCTCCCTCCATTTAGGACAGAAGGGACCAGGCTTCCCAGTGATGAACAGAGATCATTAAATAAAATCACTGATTAAAACCAGAGCATGATCTGTGAGTGCTACTGTGCAGCATTAGAGGCTGCAGACCTCGTTAGTAGCGTAAGCATAAATGTGAAATGTGTATGTGTGCTTTATATATGTGCATGTGTCTAATCTAATGTACTAAACAGCAGAGTGCTCTCAGATCAGACAGTCGGTAGACCAGAACAAAATTAGACTTGCATACACACACAGAGGACACCGATTACAATTGATCAATCTGATGATGATGATGATGACATCGCCGCCTGTAAAAACACATCAGTGTTCTTGTCAGGATGCATCAATAGTTTCTTTGAAGGGGCAGGGGCGGTGATGACAATGACACCACAGCTACTGGTTGGTCCACAACCTCCCCCCTACTGTGGTAAGAACTCTTTCTGCACATGCACATTAGGGTTTGGGGTGTCGACCACAAAGTCCTTATATAGACTTAACTTCCTGCGCTGCTAAAAACACACATTCATCACGCAGACACATCGACCACGATGCTATTGTTCACCAATGTGACTCACAATCACTTGTTTTTATCCTTATTGTTTAACATCTCAACTGGGACCGTTTGCTGTAGTTTTGATTGTCTCTGCTCCTCTTTTAGCGTCTAATTTTTAGCCCTGTTAGCAGCATGTAGGTATGGCCATGTTAGTCTGTCAGTTGGTCTGTCCACCACTTTGGTCCAGACCTGTGGTGTTGATGTTCTTTCTGGAACTTGTGGCTTTAAGTTTAAGGATGCACCACATCACCTCATGCACCACACTCTGAAGGATGCACTTTAAAGTTTGTGGATATCCAAACTGGACTTTTGTGAAAACACTGTAACAAGTTCCAGGAAGAACACCAAAACTACAGGCGAGGAGGAAAACAAGAGTAAATGCAACAACACTGTGATTCTATATGTGTCAGGAGTATCAGAGAAACTCAGAAGGATTTTAACAAAAAACCCATCCCTGTGTTTTACTAAACTAAACAACCACTACACAAAATGCATGGCTCAATGCAGAAGGGCTAACTCCTCAGGTCAAGACTCAACAGTTTATTTGAAATATAGGGGACACTCTTTCAATGACAACAAAGACATATTGGATAGTTGGGGACAGATGGTTTGAAAGAGGAGTCAAAGAGCCAGCTACACCAGGATCGAGAAACCATCTCTCAACAGGGAAGGAGGTCAGCGACACCACTTACCCCAACACATATAATGCTGTCCTTTCATCCCTTTCCAGGAGCTCGCATTTGACCTTATATGTCAACGCTAATGATGGTCATTCAGATTTGGCCTCAGGAGATTCGAACAACCATGACAACTGTTGTAACAACAGCCAGGAGCACTAACCAATCAAGCGGTATCCATCACGTTGATAATAACCCCACAGAGGTTATATAGCTGAGACTTCCTGCCTATCAGTCAGAACTAAATAAGAGGCGAAATGTCTACAAGTATCTTCAACCAAGGCTACTATGACCTGGATGACATATCAACATCAACTACATGGATTGGCTCAAAATGTTGTACAAATGTTCCTGGTTCACAGATTAAGTATTCTAATGACATTACCTCTAGCACAAACGTTTTTTAATGAAATATCTCAACAACTTTTGGATGGATCACCATGAAATTTTCTCCAGACATTTATAGTCCCCAGAGGATGATTTGTAATCATTGTAACCTCCTGATGTTTGCATGTGAACACTCTTAAAAAAAAGAAGGTGAACATGGTAAACATCATACCTGCTAACAAAATCATGCTAGCATTGTCATTGTGAGCATGTTAGCGTGATTATGTGACCATTTAGCTCAAAGCACCCTATGTCATAGAGCCACTAGAGCCCATCTTTCGATATGAAGCAGACAGCCAGAACATGCTAAATATCTGCACTCTCCTCCTCCTCTACATCGTCCCCCAATGTCTGTTTACACAAACATTCTTTCAGGCTGTCATTAGTGCAAGATAAGCAACCGAAACACTCATGCAAGGACACATAAGCAATATTTTGTCATAGATTAGGGAAAGACAACCAGCCTTCAAAATGTCTTATCTGAACATAGAGATACACACGAACTCCTGAACTGCAACATGGTCTTCCCACATACTTTGCCCTAATAAGTCAATGATAAAGTCTCCAAGGCAACAATTTTGAACCTGCTGACAGAGGTGTCTGCTCTTCTTTGGTAAACACACCTCTGTGGCTAAGCTGAAGGCCATTCAGTATTTATATGTCTATAGGAAACACCCTTCCTAATTACAATGTGTCATCTGTCACGCTCACACACTCAGGAAACGTAAATCACTGCACAGCTCCCTGAAAACACTAAAGTAAAACTGTGGTCTGGACTTGTTACTAAAAGTGTAGCCTGTGTGCTTTTGTTACAACGTGCCAATGAGCTGGGAATATGTCGGGCATAAAATTAGAAAGGAGCTCCTCCCGAGAGCAACATCACGCTACCTGCATGTTTCAGAGAGGCAATTTTGATCTAAACTACTGAACTAAAAAAAAAAGGACACAACAGGGGCCATGAAGTCAACAAGAATTAGCTTCACGTTCATTTCTGCATTCATGCGACTGCACATGTATGAAAGTACAGAGCACAGTGAACAAAAAGAAATGATCACTAAGAACTGGATTAAGGATTTCTGTTTTGTATTCTAACACATACTTGCTTACTCTTTATACCATACATACCACTACTGTACAGTACTTTACTTTAACCCCTAAACACTAAAAAAAAACTTTATAACTATAAAGTATTTATAAGTAAATGTAAGGACAATTTAAGTGTTTATTATAGTATTTGTCAAAAATTAGAATTTCTCCCATGAAGACATTTTATATTAGTACAACAGTAGTACAGTATTTACTATATAGTCATTAATTAACAGTTTATATGCCACCTTACATTTACGAGTTACACGTTATAGTTGTTGACCAATACATTAATAAACACTTACCTCTAACTACATTGTAGTATGTCATAAATATAAATGCATTAATTATCAATATACTGCTCACAAATGCTAAACAAGGGAGTTAAAGTGTTTATTGTATAGCTTTATTGTTTATACTGTGCATACTTCATTTTGGTTTCATTGCTCATTTTGAACATTATCTTTATTTAGTTTTACGCTTTTTGCCGCTGTTTTGACCTTCTGGTTAGATGCTCAACTACACCACATTGTAGTGGTGCTCTGTTTAATGGCATGTTACAGTAGAGTCTGATATAATCTAGTCTAGTCCAATACAAAATTCATTCTTCACACATGACCACTTCAGGGTGTCGAGGTGCCCTATTCATTCAGCACAGGGTCACATTACTGTGAACAAATTTGGTGTCTTGTTACACTGAAATTTAGATTTAAATCTACCAGAATGGTTTCTTCCCACAGTCGAAAGACATGAAAGGTGAACTTCCAATTCCCCAGATTTTCCAGTTACTCCAATGGCACATTTGGCAAATACAGAACAATCAATATAATGGACTACATCAACAAAATATGAAAATGCAGTTAATGAAACAGAACAAATTGTTTTAATAATCAAGTAACAGCTTCAAAGGGAGTTTTAAATAAAATTAGTCCTTTATTCCACAGTTTTGATGAGTCAGATCACAGACAGTGACAGGCCAAGAGAATAAAAACTTACACTTTGAGAAAACTGGGGAAAAGTTCATTTTGAAAAAGTGGAGAAAAATTTCATTGAGAAAACTATCTTCCCATTACAATGCCCGAGGAGGAGAAAAACACTTGACTAGAGTGAATAAAACTGCACCTTTAAAAAAATTTGCAGTCATTTTATTTAATTAACTAATTCATGTACTTGCTAATGAGCCAGTAGTTCTGTTAAAACATGAACATTAGGTAGCAAAGTTTTTCCAACAGTGATGTGCAGTCAAAGAACAAAGTATTGCCATGCATTCGCTGATAATATAAAGGCTTTTAAAATGTGGAGTTTTTTTGTCCAAAGATGGCTTGGATTGATTTTGCCCTCACACACTGAAGCCAAGACAGACAAACCTCCCTGTTGTTCCAACAGGGACATATGGCATTTTGGAATCAAACCCTTCAAAAACCAAGACAGTTTTCTCTCAAACTTCAAACACAGTACAGACACTAACATTTGGAAATATTGAGCAGTCTTTTGTAAACAGTCACATAGGATAGTGCTTTACAGCAAGTGCATTGTTTATCTGTTTATGTGCTTTTGTGTGTATATATGGCGGCAACAAGGTGAAAGTCAGTTGTTTATTGTTTCCCTGGTTGCCCAGTAAAGCATTAAAGGCAAAGTAATATTCTGCAGAAATTGGGCAGTACTGCTGGGTAACGCAGTCTGTTCCTTGTGTGTTCACAGTTAAATGGTCCACACGTGTCAAACACATCCTAAGAGAACAACTCTCAGTCCACATGGGCGATTTATTTATTCAGTTTTTGTCTTGCCAGGGTGGCTTACCACTGTGGCTACCGAGCCGTGACCATCCACAGGCCCAGAGCCACGTTGGCTGCCAGCAGGGCGCTGCCCGCCAGCAGCAGGAAGAAGCCAATAAGGTCGCGCTTTTGACGGTCCGTTACTACAGTAACCAGCGTGGCCTCCAGCAGGGCGTTCAGCATCCACTGACCGTCAAGAGCGAAACACGGCACGGAGTTTACTACTGCTAACGCACCAGAGAGGGACACCACATATCTGAGAGACAGGTGGGTTAAGGACAATACTATTACACATACATTTCACTATATTGTCATTCAGCCTTAGAAACGTCATCATCTAATGCGCGCACACACACTCTTACCACATGGTCTACTTAGCAACTGTTACTCCAGGTTTTTTTTTGTTTTGCTGCTAGAGCCTTTCTTGGTCTGGAATGAGCAATAGCTTTTGGTGGCTAATGATAGCAAACTTTATACAGACACCACTGTGTAACTGACATTACTGAGTCAGTTCTTGCCATTACCGTAACTCTCACACTATGTTTCAATCAACAGTACCACAACACAACTTTTTTTGTGATTATTTAAGAGTTACAATCAGCCATTCGCTTGTGAAGTACATCAGCGCATCTTGATTGAGAACCAAAATGATTACATGTTAAAGAATGGGACTATCATTCAGAAACAATAGACATTACAATATGTATAGCAGAAACAATTAATCAATTAGTTGTCAACCGCCAGCTATTGTGATTAAATAAATTTTTTTTAGGACAAGTTCTCTAATTTCAGCTTCTTAAATGTGAATATTTTCTGGTTTCTTTACTCCTCTATGACAGCAAACTGAATATCTTATGGTTCTGGACAAATCAAGACATTTGAGGACGTCATCTTGGACTTTAGGAAACACTGATTGACTGATTAATCCAAAAAAATTTAAATAAATTGACATTGAAAATAACCGTTTATTGCAGCCTTAATGCTATATAACCACTTTCTAGAAACTTAGATCATTTTGACTGAAGAGTACCGTTCCTTTTTCGAAAGCCAACTCCTTTTTTTGTTCATTCGTTCGTTATCTGATTATGGAGTCCTTTAAACATGAAAGGATACTTGCAGAAGGTCTCCAAGAAGACGGGAAGATCCAGGTTGAGGAAAGCAAAGCGGGGCACAAAGTTGGTCAGACTCACTGGGGGAGACAAAACAAAGTGTTACGGTCAGACTGCAGGAATTTGTGTGGTTGCAGAGTTCATCATTACAGAAAGAATGCAGGAATACTCTTGTGTTCATCATAAATAGCAGCAGACAAAACAACAGGCCTCTTCCTGCCCATTTATTATACATAATTTAGGACTGGGGAGTCAGCTCAACACCTACACTGTAAACAGCAATTATATGAATACGAATTACAGATACAAGCTTGTGCCTCCTTCTAGGGTGGGAAAAGTAAGTAAAGCAATTTTTGCTTTAATATTTACAAAAAAGGAAGAATGGAAATATAATTTATAACCTGAAGGCCTAAGATACTTTTATCAAACGTTGTTGTGTTGTAACTCCAATTCACCTTAAAATGCCGGTTGAAGTTCTGCTTCAGCTAAGCATTTTTAAACTTAGGAGTGAAATCATAAAATAAACAGGAAGAAGGGAGGTGAACGTAGCAGTGTAACACACTGTACGTACCAGAGTACTGAAGGTGCGGCGGATACCCCACAAACAGCATGTGTGTGTTTGGCGGGTGTGTGACACGGATGAAGCGAGTCTGGTTCTCCAGAGAGGGAGTGACGCAAATGAGGGCATAGCGGGAGTATGCGGCGCAGTCGTCGTTGGTGCGACACACTCGCGTCCCAGTCACCATCTTCCGCACCGGCATACAGGCGTACTGCGGCCACAGCATTACAGAGGAAATGCAAATATAAGAAGTATTAGAACAGATTTGAACTTTTCCTGATGTTGGCTGTCTTGTGTTCTTTTTCATAGACCACTTTTAATTCGCACTTGTGGTCCATTTATGACCTTGGATATCTTGTTTACTGTCTTTTTCCATGACCGTGACCTGTTTTTAAAGCAAATTTGTAAGACTGTCATGCAAAATGTGCCATATTTTGCAGCCAACTTACAGGACGTGCAGTATCATCAGCAAAGCACAAATAAGTCAAGAAGAAATGTGATACTTTTATTTTAATCTAGCATTAAGATTGTATTTTCATCTTTTAATAATATAATGTTGAAATCTGGTTTTGTGTATTGTTCATAACTTTTTTTGTGCGTTAAAGTCATGTAGTTGCAAACAAAGCAGCACAAAATGGAAATAAAAGGAACTCAGTGGAAGAAGGAAGAAACATAAATACGCTTGACTGTCTGAAAGGGTTGGAAACCAGCTTACATGATGAAGCAGTCACAAAAAGTCCCAGCCTGTCCGTGTGTGTGTGTGTGTGTGTGTGTGTGTCACCTCTCTCTCTCTGCTGTTCCTGCCCTGTGGTTTCATGTAAGAGAAGCAGAGGTCTGTCAGGCTGTTGTTGCTGCAGCAGTCCATCGTTCCATCCAAACGCTTGAAAGCTTGAAGAGAGAGAGAGAGAGGGGGAAAAATAGCTATATATAAATGGAGGAGAGCGACAGGTTGATGAGATTTGTGTGTCAGACTGGACACTCGTTACATAACACACATAAAGAAGGATATCACTGAGGTTTTCTTTTTTTGAGTGGTAAATCTACAAGCACCAGATGATTAGACAAGGACACAGTATCACACATTTTATGACATAACAGATAATCCTGCTGACTCATACATCCCCAGGACCTCTGGCTGTGTACTCACACATAATTTGACTGTGACATATTGATGCACTTAATACAGAATGCAACCAATCGCGAATCTTCAGCATCATCATCAAAATAACACGACTGAGGAAAGATGTGAAATCCAAATGAAAAAGTTGATAAAAGGTCAATTTAGGGCTGAACCGACAGCTATTGATGACCAAAATAGTTGCAGATGAATGTTCTGTCAATACACTAATTAACTAATTATAGAAATTAACATTTTTGGCATTTGTTGCTAATTATAAAGTCTCATTTTTGCCACTGGAATAATGCTACACCACAGAAAAGCAACAGGAGCTCTGATTGGCCAGCTGTTGACTTCACACGGCTCCAGCTTACAGCTGGCCAATAACAGCTCCCGCTGCTGCTCTGTAGGTTTGACCTGATTAAATTTTTAAGCATCACACTGATGCAATCACAAAGAAAAAGAAATGCTAAAGAAGGAGACAAATTAACTAATTGAATGACTCTATTCCAGAAGCTCGCTGCTGACTTAATTTAAACTTACAAAACTAGCAGCTGAGGTGGAAAAGTCAGTTTTCATTTCACTTTAAAAATATCTTGTTTATACTTAGACGGACCTCTGGGTGTTCTCACCGTACAAACGGCACACTCACCTCGTCCGTGAGCCCAGCTGGGCTGCAGGCTGGTGCTGGGGACACAGTATCCAGTCTGCGGGCTGTGAGAGAGGTGAGACAGGCAGTTGCTCCAGTCCTCCACTCCCTTGACCGGACAGTCCTCCAGTCTGGTCACTATGTCCCCAACTGACAGACCCCGGGGACCTTCAGCCGCAGAGCCCTGCTCAAAAGACAAAGGCAGATATGAAAATTAGCTCAAAGGTCACAAGAGCGCAGTTTGATGTGCTTTATGGTTTGAATCTTGCATTAGCTGGGAAAATCCAGGAGGGGCGGCCATTGGCAAATATATTTTAAACCCCAATACCTTAGCGCATATAAATAAGGTGCGATGGTGTGATTTTCAAGAATTTAAGAAGTCACTAATGGAAAGTGAATGACAACTTCTCACTTTGCGACAGGCCTGCAAGAACTCCCAGAGACAAAGAACAACAAAAGTTGAGAGCCCTACTCTGACAACTTATGCCAGCCCAAGTAATTTCTAATTACTATATAATTAATTGGTAAGCACTTAATCAAGACATTTCCCGTTTATATTTCTGATAACTGGAAGCGAGTGTGGATTTGCTACTTCCTCTTACCAAATTAAGGTAATTTACTACAATATTTTTATGCCTTAAAGATATTTAACTCGCTATAAAAGGTTATTTATTACTGTGACATTGGAAACTATATCAATATAGTAGCGAGGCAGTGATGATACCCTTAAAGGATTATTACATTTTGCTGAACAAAGGTCAATGGGACAATAAAATGTTCCTCACATTAAGTCCGTGACGTACAAGGTTAAATATTTAGATAGAAGTAAATAAAACGTTTGGCACATAAAACCTGCTTCACTGACCTGGACGACCTCGGTGACTAGCGCCCCGGTGCCGGTGGAGTACACGGGAAACAGAAAGACGGGCAACAGGAAGAGGAGGGCTAATGCTGCCACACACAGAACAAAGTTGTGCCAGACTCCTAGAGAAAGAAAACAGAAACATTTCAGCTTTTACTTACTTTTAAATTGTCTGTTTTAGTTTAGATTTTTTTTGTTTGCTTATGTGTGTTACTTTATTTTTATGCATAAGATTGAAAATTTACTTTTTAAAACATCACTTTGAGAATATTAATTGAAAAAAACATTTCTTAGTATTAAAGTGGGACTGAAGCTTTTCTGGTGTGCACACCCTCATTAAATAAATTAAAACCCGTACAGGTATGAAAAGATAATCATTCCTGAAATGCAAAATGTACATAGCCTTCAAACTTCTCAGATATAACCGTATGACCAATATAAGCTCATGAAAAGCACACAGCAACACCAGGATTGTATACTAGATATACTCTATATGTATACTGTTGTAACAACTGTTTAGACTGCAAGATGCCGTGACAAAACAGTAACCACTGCTCACTAAAAATAACTCTATACCATCTTAATTATGTTAGACGATGCAGTCTCCCAAAATCACGAGGACAATTTCCCAATGCAAGATGAGGTCAAGGCAGACACTTTTAGATCTTATATTCCTGAAACATGTAGTACATACAAAGCTTTATTAAAACACTGATCTGTAGTGACAGCAGCATCAAGCAACAGGTTAAACAAAGTCTCTGGAAACGAGAAAATGAATAACTTAAGATGTCTGACGAAATTCTTGGAAACCCTCTGATTATTTAATAATGTCTGAAAAATTGAGGCACTGCTTCCAAAACAACACAGTAAACAAACTTATAACGCTGCATCACCTATATCTACAGGAATAAATAATAAACATGTTGTGTGAGAGAAACCCCCTGCGGACAGAGCGATCTCCGCTGTGGAGAGAGAGGGAGACACAGATAAATAAACACAGCATGCTGTTATGTCACCACTCCCCTGATGGGAATAGCATCCTGCTCTCTCGGTTTTGTCATATGACTTGATTGGACGTCTCAGTTTGGTGCCTGCAGTCACCACCCCAGTTATTTTCTTGTCACATTAAGCAGAGGAAATGCCTGGAGGAATTTTAAACTAGTTAAAGATACAGATAGTTTTAAAAGCAGCTCTTCACTGCCCTCTAAAGGCTCCTTATGGCAAATAGAAAGCACCATTTAGTAATTTTACATTTTCATTAAGTGTCATGCTCCTCAACACTCAGACAGCATCTGCGGGGAGTTTAGAGTCTCTAACCACCAAATCATACTGACATCCACGTCTCTGTTTCTGCAGGATTACCACTGCATATCCCTGAGAAATATACCAAAAAGGAGCATACGACATGTAATGTTTATAATGACTGAAAAAATGATTATTCCTTTATAGCTTGATGCCAGTCCCTTCCGCTACGTAGCCAAGATGGCGACAATTGAGGGTGAGAGGTGTCCAGCATTTTGACCATTTTGAGTACACCATCCAGGTTCGCAGGAGTACACTGCATTTTGCCATAATTGTCAGCGTGAATGCACCTGTGCACTCAAAATAAGGGCGGATATAGTACGTAAAAACACATCTGGTTAGCAAGACACACATAACTTTATTAATGCTCAGTATCAGTATGAGCAGATGTAGGAATTGTGTATACCAATGATTATAAACCGCTGCCATCTTAAATAAGCATGCTACAATAAGGAGTCGGCTTTAGCTTGGATTGTGGATCAATTCTACTCAAAGAAATATTACTGGGAACCATCGCGTTCTCTCCAGTTAAATTAAAAACATAATAAAACATGGTTACAAACATCAAAGTAACTTCTAGCTAACAGCATTATTCATAATGACCATATAGTCAGAAGTAAAAAAAAATCACTTCGCATCGCAATCATAGTGGGCTGATTTGACTTTGTCGGGGTTGATGTTACTATACTTTACACCAAACCTTGTGATTCTTTTTAACTTATTTCGCTTTGCCTGAATCTGCCACAGAAAGAGAAACCTGTCTCCTTTCTCTCTCTGATTATTTAACTTGTTGAGTTTATAGATGTTTTTTGCAGTTATTTGAATCATCCAAATTATTTTTCTGCTGCTTCTAGCTGCCCTGTTGACTCCTTTCTAATCAAAAAAATTGTTCTTGACCAGGCTGCAATGAAAATAATCCGCCTTTAACTGGCTCCCACAGATGTCTCCTATGGTGGCCTGTAGGAGACGTCAGCCGCATTCATGCGTGAATAACAGCCAGCTCCACCAATCAATTCATTAAAATCTAATTTTCTTAATTGCACAGTGAAATGATTTGATGGGAAGCAGCTGTCTGGTGTTCAGAAATAAAAAGACCTCAGAGTGACCTTCACTGGCAGAACAGAGTAGAGTATTTAACAAAATGCTTGTAATAATTGTGATTAATAGCTGTGATCACATTAGCTGGCAAAATAATCAGGATGAGCGTCTCTACTATGGAGTGATCAAAACGTCTTACCGGCACAGAAGATGCGGAGCTGCTGAGTGGGTGATATGAGGCTGAGGTGTGTGGTGAAGAGGTCCACAAACGCACCGGGATACACCACAAACACAAACATGCCGAAGCCGTTCACTCGCACTTGCTCCCTGGGGGGACAGAAAAATATTACACGTCACAAGAGGTCCAAAAGACAAAGAGACCACATTAAAAGGCCCTGAAAATTTATTTTCTCAATCAGCTTCTTACTATGAGTGATGGGATCCTGCATCAACACTTTATTATCTACCAAAAGATGAAGGTGCAAACACATGCTCAGACGCAAACACAGATGTGTTTCTATTTACAAAATAAATCTGAGGAACACCTATGTGTTCAGCTAATGTCACTTATTATCAAACTAAATTCAGCAAATTACAAAGCAATAGATATTTTTGTTGAGTCTCTGCTTTGATTTGGAACCTTACGTATTTATGTTATAAAAAGGTCACTTTGTTAAATAAAGATATTGCTCATCATTTTTGGTTTTCAGTTTTTAATGAAAGGTACACAGATCAATTTAAACAGATTTTCACCACTACCATTATAACAGTAACATGACCAGCTGATCCCAGAGCTGTGCAGGAGAACTGATCTAATTAAAGCAGCAATGTAAATACTGTTTGTTGTTTGTCAGAAAGTTAGAACACAAAGTATCTTGTTTCCTGCTAGCCCTTAACGCTGTACCTTGTATTATAAAATAGGTCAGATATTTGCTAAAATGAATGTATAAGGTGATTATGAGATCACATCATCAGTTGTCAGTCTACATAATGCAACTCATTCTCACTTCCGGTGTAAACAGGAAGTTAAAAGACAACATCACAGAGTTGGAGCCCTTCATTGTTCCTGGAATACATAAGGTCAGTAGCTGACGTGTTTCATCCACTGTTTTGACAGATCTGTCACCGAGCAATTACTGACAGTCATCGTTTGTCGACTCCTAAAAAGCTCATGTAGTGTTTTATCCAATGATGTAGTTTTCACTAATACAATCAGATAATAATAATCATTATTATTGAAAGTGAGGTGAGCTGATAAGCTGATCACAAAATATCTGACCCTCTTCAACCCCCTTGTGTATCTACATAGACGAACATTGGTCACCTCCCATTTTTTCTGTCTTAATGGCCTTGGATGCTCTTCCCTCTCCCGGCTGTCATGGTAACAGATTGTGTGTGTGTGTGGGAGCGTGTCTGTGTGTTTTACCTCAGTGCTGCCACAGCGTGGCCCAGCTCATGTATTACTCCGCTGAGCAGCAGGGCAGTGAAGAAGTAGGCCAGTTGACTGGTGGGCAGATTGACACCAGGGACCTAACGACAGAAACAGAAACACAACATGAACACCTACAGGTATCCTTAAGGTTGAAATTTTCATTTTTGTGCCTCTTTCATATGATTTTTATGAGCTTTTTAATATTTCATAGGAGGAAATTTTATTGAACTATGATGTAATATGTATGCACTGCACATTTGGCAAATAAACATAATGTTTGTTTCACCAAGATGTGTTTAAAAACTTCCTACCCCCTCTGTTTTCTTTTTCCTTCTTCAAATTAATTGTTTCATGTTTTGCTGAAGCTGTGGTTTTCTGTGTGGTCTGCATTTTGTGCCGCTCTAGGCTGAATATCTGGGTTATAAATGTCCTACTAATAGCTTCCCATGAATCACCACCAGTGGTCTACTGGGGATACTGCTCACATTAATGCACAGCTATTTGACACCTAAAGAAAAAAAAAATTAACAGGAAAAAAAATGCTAAATAAGAGCCCTTTTCATAATTGGGGGCATTTTTCGCCCCCTCATTTGAATATCACAGGCTTTGTATGAACGCTCAAGGACATTTATGCGCTTAACTCCAGTTAATCTCTGACCCAGTGCACTAAACAAGAGATACACAACGCTTTACAAATCTAATTTAAGTGATTATTTGATCAAAAGAATATCATGTTCTAAAGAGACACTGAAACTGGGGGCACAAAGCATCCCCTGTCTGTTCACTGTATTTAAAATGTTACTTAATATAGTGTGAAGAACTCATCATGTATACATACCACCACCTGCAGGGCCTGCTGACTTCCTATTCGAGGGTTGTCTGTGGTCATCTGAGCGAGCGTCTGCTGCAGCGTCTTTGTCAGCAGCACCACTGATCCCAGCATGGCTACTATACCGAACACGAGGCCGCTGTTGAACCTGGGAGACGCGATATTGATACAACAGAGCAGTCATTTCAAGCGTTGCCATTTGGCTGTTCTTTACGGCACTATAAAAGTGATAAATGAAAACTAAATAAAAACCTTGCAAAAAGAAGCTACGGTGTAAAGGCTGAACTGTGAATACATCAAGCTTTTAGAAGACTGGCCCACTTGTCCATTAAGTGATGAGAACATCATCACTTCAGGCATTTTGCTGAGTGACAGCAGCCACTAAAATGTGACTTAAATGAGAAAATGAAGGATTTTAGCATCTCTAACTAAGTGATACTTCAACAAGTGTTGGCAAATTGGCTTGTCTTTTATATACAGTTGGGTACCAATCAAATTCACTTTCGTTTTTAATTCCGGTAGTATAATAATAAAAAAATGTATTTGTATTATACTAAAGCATTAGTAATCAATTAGTTTCACTGGGAAATCATTCAAAAAGATGGCGTTGCAAAATGGACTGAGGAAAGTACAGTAATGATGCAGGAAGAGTTCAGGTTAAAAGTGTAGTTTATCAATGAAATGGTAGTCCTCACCACAGGTAGAGGGCTCGGGGGTTGATGCGGGCGCAGTACGCAAACAGCCGGTTGAACATGGTGGTTTGCCATCTCAGATGGAAAGGAGACAACATCAGCCCTCGACTCGCCAACCATGACTCGTAGCTGATCCGATGTGTCGCTGACGACTGCGGGAGTCAATGGGACAGTGGAAAAAGTTATTTCAGTGCATTCACCAAGAAGAGTGTGCAGTTAGTGGTGTGATTAGAGACTGGATTATTTAACACCAAAACCAATATTGATATTTGAGAGTTTAAAATATACAATATTCATTTTTTATATGAACACATATTTTTGTTAAGGACCACAAGAAATGTATGAGTGGGACATTTTCACAGTTCTAAATCTGTCTGTGCTCTCTGGTGGATAAACTATGTACTGGTGTTATTTTTTTCAAAACCACCTAATTAAATGTCTTAATTATCATAACATAGACTCATACTAATCTGTGATATACGGTATAGTATAGTAATATATATTTTAATACGTTCGGCTGTAGCTGTTCTAGTATCCACACTTTGTCTTAAGGCAAATTCAATTCTTAACTGTCCAAACTAGGGGTGATCCCGAGTAGTTGAAGATTCGATGCTTCGATGGGCGGAGCCTGATTCGACTGTCAATCTCACAGTCGGAGCTTCTCAGCAAAACAAGGATCATGCCATTTTGACGAAATAGATCCCCGAGGCATGCAGTTGTCGGCAGCAGTAATGCACGTAAAACTCTGCACAAGACCGGTGAATGACGGGTGAGAAAGAGAGAGAGCGCCTAAGTTTAGCTGGAAATTTACAGTGTAAGTTGAATGAAAAGAGACTGCAGCTCTGCAGCTTTTCAAGATTACACCCCCCCCCTTCGACTATAGGCAGGACTTGACGATTCTGATTCGACTATGTATTTCGGGGACAGCACTAGTCCAAACATTCCAAAAAAAACAGATACACAAAATAATTTGTGTCACTCTGCATATTGCTAAGACCAAAACATGTTTGGGAATATTACTGCAATGCCTAAAATGTGATTTCTAGACTATGAGGTTGTTACCCATTACACAATACATAATTGCCTGATAGCTGACAGTTTCTGAGTCAATTTCACAGATTGGTCTTTTCAAACTATACCAGCGTTTGATCGATTTGGGTTTTTCAATGGCCGATGCCGATATTTAGAGAGGATGGCAGCCGATGGCCGATCATCATCATTCAGATGCATTATTCTTGACAGTAAAAGATATAATTACTGATAGCCAGTAATGGTTTTTGATTAGATCTGCTGTCAATTAGGATGATATATTGGCCTCCTCGAGTGCAGGTATCGACCCATGTCGATTATCTCAAAATGCCATATATCGGCCTGATTAATCGGTCATCACTAACGTATGAAAATTTTAGCCTTATTCCTTCAGCTCAGCTGCCTGTCGGCTTTTGGACATTAAAAGCCTCAGGCACTGAATAAGTGGTCGTTCAACTCACTTTCAAAAACTTCTCGTCACTTCAAAAATCAGATTCATTTCATTTTAACACACAAAATTGATTTAATTTAATTAATTTCATGAAGCAACAAAATGAAAATCCATCATAAAAGAACAGTGCTCATGACCATGATCACTATAAATATACTATATCTATCTAGATATAGATATATAACTATAAGAGACCGCAATCAGTCAAAATAAGCAAAATTATATATTTTTTAAAATATTTCAGCCTTACCTTTTAATACACAAATTCATATTTAAATTAACTTGAATACCAAAATATGTGCTCATAATATTTAGGCTGCCATTAAAGGAAAAGCTAAGCTAATTCTTTAAACAGCTGAGACAGTGAGATACGGACTTGAGAGCAAATAAAAAAATTATATAAAGACATAATTTAAAAGAGTTAAATATTGTCATATCCTAAGAGTACAACAAGTACAAGGCTTTAGTTCTTCAGATGATATTGGTATAAAAAAGCATCTCTGCATCACCCGGAGCAAACATAAAATATCAAAGAGTCTGCAGGATTTTATTAATGATCGTGTATCAGCTTGTTCCAGCTTGTTTAGGCAGAATGTATTTTTGCTTTTGGATAAAAAATTTACAAACAAAAAAAACGTATTTATAGTCTGAGAAAGAAATTGAACTTTATTTTAGAACAATCCCTTTGTCCTCCAGCAAAAAAGGCTCTGAAGATACTTCCTGTCTGTACTTGCCCGAAGGTTTTTCTGTTATTTTGTTTCCCATGAATGTTGTTGTTTATTTTTTTTTTTTGTTTCTTTGTTTGTTTTGTGTCTGTAACCCCTTGTAATATGTACGTTTGTATCCCTTATGTGTTGTGTGTCTCATTTGCAATGTTCAAGTTAAAATGTAATTATTTAATTGACCAAATACACACACAACACACAACATCTATACACGACAAAACGTTACTGCTATTTGCTGCTGTATTGATTTTACCGTTCAACTAATTTTTTTTTTTATTAATCTGCAGGATGCTTCTATGAAGGATGATGTCATTTGCCAAGAGTATTGATTGGTCAAATCCTGCTTCATAGTAACATCATCAAGGTGGGAGGAACAATCACTCCAAACACATGTCGTGAGCTTTAACATAGTCTCTAGTCCTGAGGCTGTTTTATGGTCTATTAAGAAGAGCATTAATTTATCCCCGTTTCAAAGCTGACATCGTATTTAACTAGCAAGACAAGAACATATATTCACCCTCAGCAGTGTGTCGGCGAGATAGACGGCACACCAGCCTGCCATCACACACACCAGCAGCGGCACAGGGATCATGGTGCATCAGAGGACTCTCCGAGGACAAACTCAACCCAGCGGCGCTGTCTCCATCACTCCCTCTGCCCGCTCTTTAACCCGCAGCCAGCCGCGGTTACACATTTAACACCACAAACAAATGTCACCTAGTTATATAAAATATCAAGGCTGTTTGCAGAGCTTGCTGTGGATACAAAGAACCGTCAGCACTGTGCGACTAACTTCCGGGTTGCGCTTCTTCTTCTATTTTAATAACAAAGATCAACCAAACCGAGCAATACCGCCGCCAAGTGTTTAACTACAGAACTGCCCTTTTTTGTTCCTTGAAATGTATTTATTTTACTTTTCATACATACCCGTATTTTTGCATTGGGAGTGTTGATGTTGTCTTATACAGGAATTTATTATTGTTCTGTTTTGGGAGGATTTGTATATTTGAGTCTGTTACATGTGGTTTGATTTGCTTTTGCTTTATATGAAATGTTTTTATTAATCTTTTATTGTAATATCTTGCTCACTACTGGCACCTGCCCGGGGACTGCAGATGAGAATTAGCTTTTGGCCATTTCTGGAAACATACATATATTGTGCATTGCCAAAAAATAAATAAAAACATAAACATTTCTCCACATTCTCTATATACTATGCCAGACATCACTCACGTTCCCACAAAACTAATTCTTGCATGTTTTATGTTACTAATATCCAGTGTTGGGATGTAACAAGTTACATGTAATTTAGATACGTAATTTAATTACAAAATACATGTACTGGGGGAAAATGCGTAATTAAATTGCAGTTACTAATGAAAATGTCCATGATTACATTGGGAGTTACATCTGAATATTTTCTGTAAAAAGCTTGGCTATATGTTGATTAATTTGTTGTTTGCATGTCATATATGTTGTTTGAATTTGCAGCGCCACCCGTCAGCCAGTTAAATTGCATCTCAAGCTGTCTTTTGAAAATGTTTAACAGCTGAAAAGACTAGAAATTTAGTAAAGTAATCAAAAAGTGAATAAATGTAATAAGTTACATTACTTTGATAAAGTAATTGAAATAGTTACACTAGTATTACATTTTAAATATGGTAACTTGTAATCAGTAACCTTTACATTTCCAAAGTAACCTTCCCAACACACATATTCAGCTACACAAGTGCTGTCACACTTGCTGTCCTAAAGTGCAGTGAGAAATTTAGAAATTAGGAGCAGAATAATCTTTTGTTAAGTTTGTCAAATTTAATAAAGTTCTTTTTTTTATTTTGCACTCTTCTGTGTTTGATGTAAATTATAACTGATAATAATAAAGATTTATATATTTATATGTTTCAACCAGCAAGTTGTGCTGAAAACTAATATTTAATGGTGACGTTAATCTGTGTATTGTATTGTCATTTATTCTCATTTTATTTATGTGTTTTATTTTACAGAACGTTTACTCTCGGGTTTATTTTTCCTTTTAATGCATTAATGATTTTTGTGGGTGACTCATGCATGTTTTCTAACTTTTACTTCTGCTGTCATACTGTATTTTGTTTCTAAAATAAAACAACAGTCAAGATTACTTTGGCATTCATTTGAACTATTATGTTTGAAAGGAAGATAGCAAAAAAAGCCATATCTTTGCATCTCGACAGTAACGAGAGAGTCTAAAGGCACCACTAGCCCCCTAAAATGAAGCACAGAAAAATCAATGAGGATTTGCAGAGCTACTTTGGCTGAGCTGCAGCAAAAAAAAATGAAAGTGTGGGTCTGGATATTTGATTTCATCCTTCCAAAAGGTCAGCGGGGGGTAAAAGGACACCAATAAATGTTGATGGTCTTACTCAGATGCAACAAGAAAACAAGCTCCCAGTCTGACTCACTAAGCCATACATGTGACCTAGTGAAATTAAAACTGCTTGTGGGTAAAGCCTTGTGTGGGGACACACTTCACATCAATACTGACACAATTCAGTGTCACATAGAGCCTCCAGCTTGTCAGTATGCGTTATTTCAGTAATGTGAGGACTTTTGGAAGTCACTTTCTTGGGGCGGATTTTCTGTTACCAGCCAATTCTTGTTAAAGAAATGTGAGGTTAAGTGTTAATTCTGTACACTAATAATTGTGTTCCTCATGTAAATCATGTATGCTAAGTGTAGACAAGAAACCAAAACCTTGTTTGTTTACTCATTGTCAGTCAGTGCGACAACATGGGCAGCTTGAACTGACAGATGCCCCCATGTACATGTGGCCTCAAACGTCACACTAAACAGCTGCCAGCACACAAGAAGGACACACTGTCAGATAGTGATAACAATTATCTGATGAAAACAATCCTACATCAGAAGGAAGATTCATCATGCAGTTGACTGCATTTGTTAATTTAGCCATGCCTCACTGCATGCCTCCTTTTTTATTACCTAATTTAAATTTTTTATCCAAATTCCAGCCCCAAATTTACATCTCACCCTGACCTGAGCTGCCTGAACTGAAGTCTTAGACCTAAGACTGAGCTGAGACACACCAGCTAAACAAGTGGAGCACACATATTGTATAAATAGCAAGACTGTTTTTCCTTAAGGCTCTCTGTTAAATAATATTACATCACAGATGTATCACAGATACATAATCTAGCGTATAATAGTTAGCACATACTTAACTTGTTTTTTAGTTAAACTGGATTATTAAGTTTGGTTCTGTTATTAATCTCTCTCTGTCTCGGAGGTCCACCTCTGGTCGGTGAGGGGTGAAAGTTGGAACTGAGGAGAGGCGTGATCTACAGTAGTGTGGGCTTCAATACTACTACTATAATTTTGTTTGGCTTCTTGTTTATTTCTGAGTTACCATTGCTTTTGTTGCAGTTTCAGTATTTATGTATTGTAAACTTATTACTCTTATGGATAATTTTCGCCATTTGCAAAGCTGTTCATTCACAGCTGTTTTTGTAAGTAGAAGGGTTGGACCATACACTATAAAAAAAAAAGAGAGTTGAGGGCATTGTTTTGTTGTTGTGTGTTTTGATGGGGTTTTTTTTAGGGAAGGTTCATGAGTAAGGGTAATTTCACCCATTGTGTCACACACATGGGAGCTTCATTATATTTTGCCCAGATCCTCCTCTAGGTTTGCTGTTTGCCTATAGGCCAAAAGATGCCAGAACACCATACATATCTGTGCATCGCCTATTGGAAAGAAGTATTTTAAAAAAAATCACCTATTTTATAACACCCACTGATACTACCTGCAGAGCAGACTATAGTAACTGCAATGCAGTTCCTACCTTCATATTTTGTGATTTTTTTTTAGTGAAGTTTTGCCCAGTTTACTGCAAAACTTAAGCCACTTAGAAGCAATAACGAGGTATTCAGCAATAGCATGTTGTTAAATATAATAAACACATTCAGTGATGAAGGTTTATCTGTAATAGGGCTGTCCCTGTGTGTGTGTGTGTGTGTGTGTGTGTGGGTTGTTAGTATTTGCATATTCTGAAATATAAAACAAGCCTACAGTTTGTGTCTCTTCATTTTACTACCTGGGCACACAGTAGATTAATTTCACAGGTGAGCCTGAAGAGGATCCCTGGGGGATTGATGCGATGAAGGTGGACAACTTGAGTGGTGGAAAAACTGCGTAAATTCCCGAGAGAAAGGTAGGTGCAAACAAGCACACTCAAAAATACTTACAATGTGTAGAAACATATGAGAAAACACATCTATAGACAGACAGATACACACACACACACACACAGGCTGAAAACTCAGTCTACTTCTCTCATGATGGGTCGGATTCCACTCAGGGAGGAGTTTTGTGTGTCTCCGAGCCAATCAGGACGAGCGGAAGCAGGTCAGGTAGCCGAAGAGGACCTCAGAGAGAGCACAGGCCGGGCAAAGCAGCCACGCACGCCAGGAGGTAAGAGAACACACACACACTGACACACACACACACACACACACACACACACTCACACCTTTAAGTCTATGAGATCATAGTTCCTCTCTGTGCCTGTGTATGAGCATCACAGCATAAATGTAGATATTCCAGCATAACCACTTCTCTGTGTGTATGAGTGAGTGCCAGAGCAGAAATAGGGCAGTGCCATTTTAGTTACTAAGATAAAGAGGAGTGTTTTGAGGACTCAAGTGTCAGGGTTTGAGGAAGATGCATGCTAAAATTACAGCACTTGCCATTATTAACATTTGTGAGGTTCATATAAGCAAATAGCTTTGTGTTTGAGGGTTTTGTGCTTAAATGTTACATTTTTTAAATGAAGTTTAGTCTCGTAGTGAAATTATTTTAGTCATCGGAACATTTTACTGTAATTCTTGTTTAAAGAAACTTTAAAAGATGTTGAAATTAACAAGTGCTCGGTGCTGCTGTTTGGCAGTGTTTTGGTCCGTCGCTGTGTGCGTCCATGTGTGCCTAAGAGTGTGTGTGTGTGTGTGTGGACAGAAAGCAGGTCCCTTCTGTGGATCACTCTTCTATTTATAGTGAGAACAAATCCCAGATATGAGAGGAATCCTTCTACCACTTATGAGGCGAGAGAGAGAGAGATAGAGAGAGAGTGTGGAGAGAAGAAGAAAGGAGAAAGAAAAAGAAAAAGATGGAGATTAGGAGGAAACAAGTGCGTGAAAGATCGACAGAAAGTGTAAGTGAAATAAGAAGAGAAGTCTAAGGGTTTATTAAATCAAGAATTTCAGGTAAGTTTCATCTGATTTGTTTGTGTGTTAGTATTAGTAGGCCATTACTTTAATATTCATTAGTTTTTAAAGTGAGCAGTCAAGTTTAACCTGCAGGAATGCTCAGTGTTTAGCAATGAGGAAATTATTTGGTTCTGTTTGGGAACCTTTATTCCTAAAGGGCAAAAATGGCAATATTGTATGTTTAAAGATTAATGTCAACAAATCTATTCACAAGTTCAATACCAACCACAAATTAGTCCATCTCTCTGTACTTTCACATTTCCTTTCCTGTCTGTGGCACTCATGCTCGTTGGTTCATACTGAAGTGTAAATCTTTAAAGGAATAGTGTAACATTTTGG